TTGCGGGGGCGTAGTGTCCATGGGATATGTTTTATATTCAATAGTTACATCATCTCCCGGTATTGAGTGTCTATTTTGCTGTTGAGGTCGGTCCGCCCTGCAGACAGACAAACAGCTCGCAGAAGCCTCTCTGTAAGTACCAACATATCTGAACCCTTCTTCTTCACATCTAAATATCACTCCACAAACCAGTTCAGATGATATGTTCTTGACGATTATCAGTAGAAATTGATCAGTACACATTTTCTCTTCTCTATCATGAACGAAACACTGTCCAAATTGTGCAGAAAAGTGACGAGTTTTATCTTGTGTGGTTTCACAAATACACGAGCAAACATGCACTGTGATTTACACACGACTGTTGCCATAAAACTACAACATTTGTGTTAAGGCGTACTTTTTTTTACTCCGTAAGAAAGGGACCAAAGCAACTATAAGTCCACTAAATCGCGCTCATCAACAATTGCCGCAACCAGTGAATAATGTGTTAGCAAAAGCTAATGTGTTAGCAAAAGCTAAGCTCGAGATTGTAAAGGAACATGTAAAATGTGTAATGAACCAGTAGAACATCTTCAAGTAAGACGATCATGTCAGCTACAATGTGCATCGTACCCCAAACAGATCAACACGTACTTTAATCTTAGTATTGACATGAAGTGTCTGGTATATCAGCTCAGAAGATGGCTCCTGCGCTGCTTCATCTGCATAGAAATGGATTGGTTCCGTCTGCCTGCGACGTTGACAGTTGTCAGAGTTGTTGTTGTTGTTGTTTTTTGCAGTAGGCCACACTGTGCACATAGCCATGCGAGGTTCAGTATAAAAAGTGTTTACATGTGCTGCGCTCTGATAACCTATAAACTTATCGTATTAGGCAAAGATATTGCATGAAAATGTACGTAGGCACATGACAATGTAGAACTTGATAGCATTTTTAATTCGTACGTAAGGCTACACTATCTTAATTTTCTGGGTGACATCCGCGCGAGCATTGATTTTAGCCTGATCTAAAAAAAATAAAGATCACGTCCTCCGGCTCTAGACTGGCTGTAGACCTCAGTAGTCCATGGTAACTCTGGAGGATGGCACCCAGGGATATGAAACCACGTTTCTTCACACATCTTAGATTTCACTGCTAACAGACAAAATGGCCTTTCCCAAGGATGCAACGTTGGGTCTGCTTGGAATTCTAAGCTAGTGCCGTTACTACCACTTTATTCTAAGTCAAAACCCTAATCACAAGACCACCTTTCTTGCTCGTTGATGAGAAGTACGCGGATATAGAAAGAAAGGTTCATCATACATGAATAGTCTACCAACTGCCAAACCTCAATTACCACTAGGTTCATCATACATGTATTGTCTACTGGCTTTAAAACCTTCACTCACGCCCACGGACGAAGAAGTTGGACCAGTCCACCCTCCAAAGGGAGGGGCAGCTTTAATAATACCATGGGAAATTCAACATTCGATGACATACTTTTACAAAAACACTTTTCTACGCTCATCACTCCTGTAACAGTTTTCGTCTAATGTTTACGAACAATGTGGCCACTTTTTGGACTTCAGTGTTTAACACCCTGATGTTTCTATACAATACTAGATAAAACTCCTTTTGCGGGGGCGTAGTGTCTATGGGATATGTTTTATATTCAATAGTTACATCATCTCCCGGTACTGTCTATTTTGCTGTTGAGGTCGGTCCGCCCTGCAGACAGACAAACCGCTCGCAGAAGTCTCTCCGTAAGTACCAAATATCTGAACCCTTCTTCTTCACATCTCAATATCACTCCACAAACCAGTTCAGATGATATGATCTTGACGATTATCAGTAGAAATTGATCAGTGTACATTTTCTCTTCTCTGTCATGAACGAAACACTGTCCAAATTGTGCAGAAAAGTGACCAGTTTTATCTTGTGTGGTTTCACAAATACATGAACGAACCTGCACTGTGATTTAAACACTACTGTTGCCATAAAACTACAACATTTGTGTTAAGTCGTACTTTTTTTACCCCGTAAGAAAGGGACCAAAGCACCTATAAGTCCACTAAATCGCGCTCCTCAACAATTGCTCCAACCAGTGAATAATGTGTTAGCAAAAGCTTAAGAACCTCGAGATGTAAAATGTGTAATGAACCAGTAGAACATCTTCAAGTAAAAGGAACATGTCAGCTACAATGTGCATCGTACCCCATACAGGTCAACACGTACTTTAATCTTAGTGTTGACATGAATTGTCTGGTATAGCAGCTCAGAAGAAGGCTCCTGCGTGGCTTCATCTGCATAGAAATAGATTGATTCCGTCTGCTTGTGACGCTGACAGCTGTTAGAGTTGTTGTTGTTGTTGTTGTTTTTTGAAGTAGGCCACACTGTGCACATAGCCATACGAGATTCAGTATAAAAGTGTTTAAATGTGCTGATAACCTATAAAGTTATCGTATTTGGCAAAGACATCGCATGAAAATGTACGTAGTCACATGACAATGTAGTATTTGATAGCATTTTTATTTCGTACGTAAGGCTAAACCATCTAAATTTTATGGGTGACATCCGCGCGAGCATTGATTTTCGCCTGATCTAAAAGAATAAAGATCACGTTCTCCGGCTCTAGACTGGCTCTAGACCTGAGTAGTCCATGGTAACTCTGGAGATGGCACCCAGGGATATGTATATTAAATAGTTACATCCTCTCCCGGCACTGATCAGTCTCTATTTTACCGTTGAGGTTAGGTCGCCCTTCAGACAGTTAGGCTGTTCACAGAAGCCTTTCCGTAAGTACAGAATTTCTGAACCGTTTTTCTTCATATTTTAATATCACCCCACAAACCAGTTCAAATAATATGTTCTTCTTGACGATTATCAGTAGAAATTGATCAGGGTACATTTTCTCTTTTCTGTCATGAACGAAACACTGTCCAAATTGTGCAGAAAAGTGACGAGTTTTATCTTGTGTGGTTTCACAAATACATGAACGAACCTGCACTGTGATTTAACCCTATCTAGACCGGGCTTTTTTGAGCTTGGTGGGACCGGGGGGGGGGGG